AGTTTAAGGAGCCAGTATGGACACTGCTCATCTTTATATTCTACAGAGAAACAATATATGATGAGTTTTTAGTAGACACAGCAGCTGTCCCATGTTAAGCGCTTTATATTGCCTCCTCGTATCATCACATTCTCTGCATTTGGTCGGATAGATTAAATGCAATAACTTTACTGACATAAGTCATTTTAAATGAAAACATATCTAACAACTTGTTGAGGTCAGGTACATGCATTTTTGTCTACAAATGTTACATTTCTTAGTGTACTAACATAGTACCATATAGGTGAATTACGCATAGGACAATTAGGGTGTCCCTGACAAGAATAAAATATCTGTTTTTTCTGCTTAATTCATTTTTAAAGAATTCATTGGGTTATGATTTTATTACGCTCGTTTTAACTATCCGTCTTTCCTACAATCAGACAGAAACGTCAAAGTAGTATTTTCTGTAGTAGAGTTTTCATCAATTCACTTCAGTCCACATTCACGAGATCCGGCTTAATTTGCACAGGTCTCTTCCATGCTTTCAGAGTATGTGTTGTCCAGATTACCTAATCTTTATCTGCACGTTTAGGGGCAAATATCTATCAACCCGGACAAAATATGACCTCATTGTCTCTGATGTATGCATTGTTAGTTATTTGTTTTCCAATGAATTTCCAATTGCATGTTGGAAATACACATAGCATGTCAGATATCTACTGATAATACATCGTCACATTACGCTTTAGCTGTCTGATCTCCTCAGTGGCGTCTGCAGATTCATTTTACAATTCTGTTTCAGCAATCGTTGCTATTCTAATAATGTGATTCTTAGAGGAGGTGCTGAAACAGGGTTGGGAAGATCGATATAACTGCCAAGTTTCCGCAGTGCGCGACGCCCTTTCCCAATGCACCGCATTCATATCGCGGCTTTTCGATTTATTTCAAAAAACTTGCCTGACTTCTTGGAACTCGGAAATATTTCGGAAGACATTGAACCAGTAGTGGTGAATAAACACTGCATTGTCTTATATTCTATGTTATTAGTGTTGACTTTATCACTTGAAAGTTTATAGTGTATTTCATTAATTATTAAATAAATGTGAAAATGGTAGTTTTCTACAGAAATAATAGTCTCGCTACCTTAAAGCGGAGGAGTCGTCACTTGCGCACGCGCCCGATGGCGATAGCGTGTCATTGTTTATAAACAAGCGTCTACCCACGAGCCTTTGCTTTTTTAGCGTGTGTTGCTATCGTCGCTTGGGGCTCAATTCCCGCGCGTGCGCAGTTGACGACCCTTCCGCTTTAAGTGACCATGATTTAACTATTATGTACCACGACTGTCGCAAATCAAGTATTGTTCACTAAAATAAATGTAATTATGCGTAGCTTAATGGGTATTTCGGGAGTTTGGCAGTTTGATCTAAAAATGCCGTAACCAGGTTATACACGTAAGGACATTCTAGAACGCCAATGGAACATTTGGTTGGTAGTAATAAACACAGCAGCTATCGTATAGCAATTAGTGTAGGTATAGTAATCCCATTGTAATTTCGCTACAAATAAAGTTGCCATTCCATGAGAAAGACCAACTTACAAGAGCGTGGGGTTCGAATTCCGACGCTCAGTATGGTGTTTAATGTTTGAAGATTAACGTCTGAATGACGACGCTCTAAATGTTAAGCACTGTGTTCGTCGGGTAATTAATGCTTTTAATCATATATACTTTACTTCATGTCGTTAAACTCTGTAAATAATTTTAACATGTTCGCAGTAAAAGATAATGCGCGCAATTTGTGCGGTGGGTGTTCCCGTAACACACTATTACGAAAGTCGGGTATATTATTTGTGATAAGTTAACGGTCTGCAAAGTAGCTTGCAGAGATGGCAAATTTCAGATTCCAGATATCAGGGACGGTGAGTGACATTTACGTATATTCACGCTGTGATATAACAATATATTGTGTGTAAAGTGCATGTACACATTGTATAATGCAAATTAAATCCTACAAACTGTGAACGTACCTAAACCTCCCCAAACAGTAGTCATAACTGTTGGGAATTCGACGATACTATGGAAATTGTAGGGATGCTATTTATGTGCGTAACATTGCAGATTCATAGTATCCACTAGTTATCATATTAGCGTGTTCGTTGTGTTGTTTCGTAATAATAATGTTAATAAATGACATATGTGAAAGTCTTCTCATTCATAACATAAAAAGCAATGAAAAGATCTAATGACATTTTCAGGAGAAGTTTTCCTTGGAATAACGACCGGTCGGTTAGATTTTGGTAAAGAAGTAAATCATGTTGCCATGGAAACAATCATTTTGGGAATGTCTTTCATTCATACAAACGTTATGGGCGGATTCTTGTGCAAACAGTAATTACGGTTTTTGCAATTATAGCATGGTCAAAATCAATTACGGTGTCTGAAAATTCATAGAACAACACAAATGTAGGTTGTTCGTACGTCAAAGTTTGGTTAACTGTTGATTGAACAGAGAATTATAATTTTGGCGCGTTGTATTCTCAAAGTTGCCATGGCATTAAACTATACAATACATGACCTACTTTATTAGCTGACCGCGAGCATTTTGCTTTATAGCTGGCGCATACATTTTCAGATAAAAATAATAACTACGGAAAATACTGTGCGTGCTGAAGTCGCATACATTGCACCACCCAATAAAACTACAAAACAAGTTACAAAACATATGATAAATACACTGAGTTTCAGGAACCAATATGGACACTGCTCGTCTTTATATTCTACAGAGAAACAATATATGATGAGCTGTTAGTTGACCTTGCATCTGTCACATATTAAAGCGCGGTGGTCGTTGCACAGCGCGTGTTCGAATTTCATGTAAATAAACATTGTATTTTACACGCGTTGTATACGTCGCTATGAGTCCCATATCGAACAGGACGCTGCACGACGACTGCCGCCCTTTAAGCGCTTTATATCGTGCTCCCTCGTACCATCACATTCTCTGCATTTGATCGGATAGATTAAATGCAATAACTTTACTGACATAAGTCATTTTAAATGAACACATATCTAACAACATGTTAAGCTTCGGTGAATGCGGAATGACAAATAATATAAAATATAATAATATAAGTGTAGTGAATACAAGACTACTATATGAACATTTCTTAGTGTAGTGACACATTATCACATAGGAGAATTATCGTATTCTTGAAGAGAATCAAATATCTGTTTTTACTGCATAGTTTATTTTTAAAGGATTCATTGGGTAGTGATTTTATCACACACAATTATACGTTGAAATTCATGTATGGAAATTCGAACGTTTTAACTGGCCTCCTTTCCTGAAGTCAGGCCTAATACGCAAGTAGTATTTTCTGTACTGGAGTTTTAATCAATTCATTTCAGTCCACATTCACGAGACCCTGCTTAATTTGTATAGTTATTTAAGTAGTGAATTTATAATACAAAATAACAAAAATACAGAGAAAATATATCTAAACTGTTTGTTGAACTGGTACTAGTTAACATATTCGTTAGCGTGTTCGTTTCGTTGTTTCGTAATAGGAATGTTAATAAATGACATATGTGAAATTCACCAGTAGAAATCGAAGTTAACCGTACTTGCTTCAACTGGAAATATGTGTCAAAGTGCAGTATGTGTATTTCATATTTGAGGAATGAGTTTGAGGATGGATTGCCAATGACACAAAAAAAAAAAAACAATTTTAGATTTTGGTAAATATGACTTGTGTTGAAATAGAACAATTGTCATGCAATTGTCAGGAGGGAAGAGACTCAGTTATGTTATGTTTTTCAACAAATTATGAATGGATTTTCACGAGAAGTTAACTTGATACAAGTACTAACAGGTTGGATTTTGGATTTTGACAAGTACACTAAACTACATAATCAAATCATTAAGATACATTTATTTGGACTCCATGGTATGCATGAAGTGATGTCAGGTTTCTGTTTGAAATCTACACCAGCTCGTCGTATCTGCCAAAAATCTTTTAAATGTTAAGGCCAGTCGTCCTCTACAAAACCCTTGGTATATTGGTTTAATTTAGTGAAAGTCTGCATATGTGCTACAGGCTCGGGCACAGAAAAAAAGTAAATATATCCCTATTAGGTAGGAGAGAGTGAGATATTTCTACAGATCTATTACGGTTTGGGAAATGATGTGTATAAATAAATCATATCATATAAAGATTATTCCATTGTTTTATAAAACTAAATAATACGTTTCAGTATTCATGTACATCTTTGCACATTACGAAGAGCGTTTTAAAAAGATATTTTTCGGATTGTCTAATGTCAACAAAGCAAAACAAAATATTCGGACGCTGAGTGTCTACAAACCCAAGAAAACTACACAAATTGACTCCATTTACCAATACTTAACGGTTTGCCCGAACGCACGACACAATTGGAGGCGAAGAACCAATCACAAGACTCGTTACGAGCCAGTTGAGCAAGGCTAACCTCGATGTGGTTCGTAACCAGTCTTATGATTGGTTGTTGGCAAATGCTGAACAGGCCACGCCAAACTGTGCCCTGCGTTCGGGCAAACCCTTAATCATTCGGAAATGGAGTCAATTTGTGTAGTTTTCTTGATTTATTCTGCAGATATAGGTAAAATATAGGTAAGACTTTGACGAACTTTGAAAGAGCAACTAATAATCTTCAACCTGGTATTTTTTATAGATTTTATTTTTCATTCTGTTCGTCTGTTTTTTCCAGTTTAAAAAATATGAGCTGGCTGGAGCCTTCATCCCTTGTCTATTTCTTACACTAGATACCAGCTCATAGGGAATGCGTACAGTTGATTATAGTTCCTTGGCTCCCTGTGGTGTAATTTG